CGTAAAGAATTTATTATTTATGAAAAAAATTGAATTTCTAAAAAGAATTTTATTATTTACGAAAATAATTGAATCCCTGTAAAAATTTTATTATTTATGAAAATAATTGAATCATTGCGAAGAAATTTAGAAAAACTCTGTAAATAATTGAATTTCTGTAAAATCTTTATTATTTTATGAAAATAATTAAAGGTTTGCGTAGAATTCTATTAAATTTTTTTTAAATAATTGAATTCTTTTGGAGAATTTTATTAAAATTAGTAAATATTAAAGATCATTTAATAAATTTAACAAAAATTTTTGAAAATAATTGAAATTTTGACAAGAATTTTATTAAAATTTTTGAAAGTAGTTAAATTTCGAAGAAGAATTTAATCATTTCTAAAGAATTGAAATTTTGGCGAGAACTTTTAAAAATTTTGAATATAATTGAATTTTTGCGAAGAATTTAATGACTTTTGCAACCGTTGCTATGATAATGGTTATCATGGGTATGGTTACTATAATAATTTTTTTCATAGCAACCATTGCTGTGGAAATAATCCTTTCTTAAAAAAGACATGGAGTGGAAAGGTCGAATGTATCGAAAAGTATCGAAGTAAAGAATGGGCAATGAGAATGTAAAATCTTAATAGAAGGGTGTTTTTAAAATTGTTTGTACATGTGATGGTGGCGCTGCAGTCGTATGTTATTTAAAAAGAGCGCGAATATATAAATTTTATTTTTGTTAAGAGAAAGTACTTCTAATAAATCTTATTTTGCATTGTCAAAAAAACGTCAACATTTCAAATATAAATAAGCAAATTATTAACTGAAAAAATTTGAATATTATTATTAATGAAATAATGGACTTGGACAATGGACATATAAAAACTAGCACCGTAGACGGCCGCTTGCGGCCGTCGGAGGAGCTAGTAACCATATATCAACCATTGTCATTAAAATGGTTATCATAGTAACTATTAATTAATATTGCAACGGTTGCTATAATAATAGTAGCCATAAATTATTATTAAAAATAACGTAGCAAATTTTTTTTTGGTGCAGCAATTTTGATACGTTATTTGGTTTCACCCTTAGAAAAACTGTGAATAACATTCGCGCTTTTAAGCTTTACATTAAAGCGCTTTTTTAATAAAAAAAAGCTCTTCTTTAATACAAAAAGCTTTAATTTGAAAAACGATTCCATAAAAATAATATAAAAAAGTATCAAGTATCTTCATTATTCAAGAAACAAATTTTTTATGAATCACAGATGAATTCTGAAAAATCTCTGCGTAACGCGACGTTTCGGAAAAAACCCTTTTTTAATAAAAAAAAAAAACCCCCCCTTCTTTATTAAAAAAAATACTCTAATTTGATTATCGAGTCCAAAAATCATATAAACAAATGTCAAGAACAGCTTATCATTTTTTGGGAAACAAATTTTTTCTGAATCAGAAATAAATTCTAAAAAGTTTCTGAGTAACGCTACGTTTCGGAAAAAAGCCCTTTTTGAATAAAAAGTCTCTTATTCAATAAAAAAGCCCTAATAAAAAAAATAATAAAAAATAAAATAAAAGCCCTAATTTGATAAAATAGAATTCAAAAAACTAACCACGTGATTTTAAAATATTACAACTTTCTCGTAGTACAACACTTATTATTTTATTACTTACTGCTAACACCTCTTTCGAATACTTCTCTCGCATTTGATATTCCCTTTGGAAGTCTCGCGTGAAACTTTTTCTTTGACTTCTTTTATTAAAGCTGTTTGTGTTGTTTTCTTTTCTCTTAAATATTCACTTTTTTTTCTCCCCCTTTTTTGCATTATATGAAGAAGTGTACAGTGGAAATTATAAACGCTTATTTCTCGTGTCTGATATGTGATGTATAATACCTTTGCTGCAAGTATTGTCTCATTTTTTTCCCTCTGTATTTAGATGTCTCTCTTCTTTTCTCTTTAGTGCCTTCGCTCCTTCAGTGTAACTATAACTTCACGCTTCACTTAATGTAAAGAGTCATCGTCTCATAACTCACTCCCCGCTCCTAACACGTTTGTAGACGTCTCGTAATATGCCTCAAAGAAAGGAAATGCACATGAGCGCTCTGTCAAAGCTCATTGCACTGTTCTCAAAAAATCACCTACGTCCATTAAGATAATATGAATGTTCGACAATAAAAATAATAATAATAATAATAATAATAATGAAAAAAGTGAGAAAAAGAAATTCACTCATTTTTAGACACCCCCTGAAAAGATATAAAGACGGCAAAAATCTCCAAGGCCATAATCTATTATTCTTTTTTTTTCTTCATCACGTGTGTATTTTTTTAAGTCAGCTTTTACACGCACGTCAAAGGATAAGTCTCTTTTTCTATTGTCACTATTTATAAAAAACGATCCTTAATTTATTGAAAATCTTTCTTTTTGAACTTTTTTTTGAAACTTTCTTCAATTGTTATATAATCTTGGCTGACTTTTTGTTTAAGCAATTAGTAAAAAAAAATTATTAATAGAAAATAACTAATTAATAGTGTTATTTTATAACACTTTTATAATAGTGTTATTATTATTGTTGTTATTATTACACTGAAAAAAATGTATTTGGTAAAAGATGAAAAGCTTTTTTGGATTAGAAGAATATAATAGGAGATGTCAAAATTGTATTTGATTAATCAGGGTTGACACAAAAATTTAATTTTATTTTTCCCTGATTTCCAGACAAAATTTTGACTTTTTCCCTGACACTGAAAAATGTTCTGATTCACTCCAAAAATTATTAGATACTCCAAAAAAATTTTAATTTGAAACCTTTTCAAAATTCAATTATTTCTAAAAATTCACGCTCTAATGCTTTTAATACTTAATTATAATCTAAAATTTTAACTGAAATCCATTTTTAAATCAATTTTTATTAGAAAATTGTACTAGAATTCAATTATTTAAATACAAAAATAAATAATTGATGGAATAATTGAATGTTTCTTAACATTGCATTCTCATAAAGAATTTTATTAATAAATTTATAAATAATTGAATTCTTTCGACAAATTTTAATAACATTTTTAATAATAATTACATTTTTCGAGGAATTCGATTAAAATTGTATTAAACGTAATTGAAATTCTGCAATGAGTTTTATTATTTACGAAAATAATTAAATCTCTGTAAAAATTTTATTATATGTGAATAATTGAATGATTGCGAAGAAATATATAAAAAAATTTGTAAATAATTGAATTTCTGTAAAATCTTTATTATTTTATGAAAATAATTAAAGGTTTGCGTAGAATTTTATTAAATTTTTTTTTAAGTAATTGAATTCTTGTGGAAAATTTTATTAAAATTAGTAAATATTAAAAATCATTGAATTGAAGAAAATTTTTGAAAATAATTGAATTTCGTGGAAGAATTTAATTATTTCTAATGATAATTGAAATTTTAACGAGAATTTTATTAAATTTTTGAACATAACTGAATTTCTGCGAAGAATTTTAAACAAAATTTTAAGAATAAATGCAATTTTCTATCACTTTATTTAAAATTGTATAAAAAATAATTGAAATTCTGTGACAAGTTTTGTTATTTACGAAAATAATTGAATTCTTCCCACGAATTTTATTATAAATTTTTTTAAAAAATTGAATTCTTGTGAAGAATTTTATTTGTGAAAATAATTTAATTTTGGAGAAAAATAATATTATTTATGAAAATAATTAATTTCTTGTGAAGAATTATATTAAAATTTTTTTAAAAAATTAGATTTCTCAGAATTTTATAAAACTTTTTGAAAATAATTAAATTCCATCGAGAAATTTCATTTAAAAATTGAAAATAATTGAAATCTGACGAATTCTATTAAATTTTTTTTTTAAATTGAATTCCTGTAACAAATTTTATTTTTGAAAAGAATTTAATTTTTTGAAGAATTTTATTTTTTACGAAAATTATTTGAATTGTTTCGAAGATTTTTATAAATATTTTTGACAATATGTAATTGTATTCCTAGAAAGAATGTTATATTTTACGAAAATAATTGTATTCGATGATCAATTTATTTGTTTTAATTTTTCAAATTTATAAAGTATTTTATTAAAAAATTTTCAAATAATTGAATTCTCGAAAAAAAGTTTATTATTTATGAAAATAATTGACTTCTTTGCGAAGAATTTTATTCAAATTTGTTTAAATAATTGAATTCCCATAAAAAAATGTATTATTTGTAAAAATAATGGAATTCTTAAGAATAAATGTATTGAAAATAATTGAATTGTATAGAAAAACTTTATTAAAATTGCAATTTTATTAACTAAAGCTTGTAAAAAAGTTTATCAAAATTTTTTAAATAATAGAATTTTTAAAAGTATATTATTTAAATTTTTCGAAATAATTGAATTTCTCGTAACTATTTTTTTCAATTCTCTGCATATATTTGAATTCTTTCGAGAAACTTCATTAAAAAAATTAAAATAATTGAATTGGTGCGAAGAAATTTGTAAAAAAAATTATTAAGTAAAATTGAATTCCTGTGAAATTTTTATTAAAATTTTGTTTAAATAATTGAATTCTTTTGGAAAATTTTATTAAAATAGTAGATATTAAAAATAATTGAAATGAGGAAAATTTTTGAAAATGATTGAAATTTTGCCAAGAATTTTATTAAAGTTTTTGAAAATAATTGAATTTCGGAGAAGAATTTTATTATTTATAAAAATAATTGAAATTTTGACCTGTGGCAACCCTGTTAATAAATAATAATAATTAATGAGTAATCAAAATTTTAAAAAATGTACTAATCCGATTTAAATTCTTTACAGAACAATAATTATCTTTCGTATTAAATTTTATAAAAAAAACCTAATCCAAAAAAACTTTCGTCCCTTACTATATTTTTTGAAAAGATCGACTTTATTTCACACTCGATATAAAAAAAAGTGAAATCGAAAGGCGAAAGTCCATTAGCAAAACCTATAATGATTTCATAATTAAAGAAGTGATAAATTGATTTTGTTTTCAGGCGAATATAAGTCAAGTCGAATATGAAAGAGCACACAGAGACTACCTAACAAGGATACACACGTCCCAAGACTATGGACACGAAAGACGAAAAAGACTTTTCACATTTCACCCATCAGGTAAATTTCAAATTTACAAATAATAAATATATATATTTGCAATTCTAATGTTATTAAAAAAAATTTATTTTTACAATTTGCAAATCTAATTTAAACACATCTTATTTATTTCTAATTTAAAATCCAAATATTTGTTTTTTCCGAAAATACTTTTTTCTAGAAATACCCAAAATATATATATATAGGTATAAATAAAATCTAATCTGACTTGAATTTTTTAAATTTCAACATAATTTATATGATAAATAACCGTTGATTTGCGCTATTAAAATGAACATATTCACGTATATTTCAATGTTTAATGATGTACCCCTTGTTTTTTTTCTTTTTTCTCTCTCTCTCTCTCTCTCTCTCACTCTATATTATGTGAAAAAAGATACTCTCGACCAGTCTGAAAGCACCTATTTGCTTACAGAGAGAGAGAGAGAATCCCGAAGCAAAAAGAAAAGGAAAAAAAAGAAAGATTTCGCAGTAAAAACGACTATATGCATGCCTCTCTCGCGGTCTCGTGATAAACTTCGGCATTCTAGGCATGTTAAAATGTACAATGCACACTCATAAAAAAAAATTTACATGAAGCGTGCGAATGACAAAGTATCCTTCGAATTTCACTTTTTTAAATGCCTGCTAAGTGTTATTAAGTTCGTCAATATTGATACGTCCTCGCTAAAATTTCTATCTCTCTCTTTTTTCTCTCTGTCACAGCCTAAATAAATTTAGAATAAAGTTTTACAATTTTTGAAATTTTTTTGTTTTTTATTGAACTACTTAAACTATTTAAAGTATTTAAAGTATTTAAACTATTTAAATTATTTAAACTATTTAAACTATTTAAATTATTTGAATTATTTAATCTATTCAATCTATTTAGCCGAATTTTCGAAAATAGAATTTCCTTTGGAACTGAATTTTCCTACTGCTTATAATTTTTTGCTAATTTTATTTCCGTCTTTAACAATTATTTTTAGATTCTTTGCTGATGATATTTTTATGCCATATGTATCAAATTTAATATCTATTATAACTATTTTATATTCTTTTGAAGACTTTACTATAATAAAAATATTTTTTTATTATAATTTATTATATTGTATATATTTATTTTTGTTATACATTCATTTTTTTATTTACCAATTTTCGAATTCCATTTAAATAAAAATTCAATAATTGCGAATTGGAAAATAGAAAATTTCGTTATAATAGGACTCGAACTAAGTCCGTAAATTCTGTAAAACTTCGTAAATTTGCTTAAAGTCCATAAAAGTCACTTTTTTTGAAAAAAAAATTTGGAGAATTTTAGAGCAATTACAAATAATTGCAGAAATTCTATTATTTTCAAAAGTAATAAAATTCTTCGCAGAAAACCAATTATATTCAAAAATTTTTTTAAATTCTCGTCAAAATTTCAATTATGTTTATAAATAATAAAATTCTTCTCCGAAATTCAATTATTTTCAGAAATAAGAAAATTCTTCAACGAAATTTAATTATTTTCAAAAATTTTAATACAATTCTTGGCAAAATTTCAATTATTTTCCAAAATTTTCCTCACTTCAATGATTTCCAATATCTACTATTTTAGTGAAATTTTCCAAAAGAATTCAATTATATAAAAAAAATTTTAATAAAATTTTACGCAAACATTTAATTATTTTTATAAAATAATAAAAATTTCACAGGAATTCAATTATTTACAAAATTTTTTATAAATTTCTTCGCAATAATTTAATTATTTTCATAAATAATAAAATTTTTTTTTGGAATTCAATTATTTTCATAAATAATAAAACTCATTGCAGAATTTCAATTATTTTTAATACAATTTTAATTGAATTCCTCGAAAAATATTATTCTTTAAATTTGTATTAAAATTCGTCAAAGGAATTGAATTATTTAAAAATCTATTGATAAAATTCTTTACGAGAATTCCATTTTAAGAAACATTCAATTATTCAATAAATTATTTAATTTTATATTTAAATAAATGAATTCTCGTAGAATTTTCTATTAAAAATTAATTTAAAAATGGATTTCAGTTAAAATTTTAGATTATAATTGAATATCCAAAGCATTATAGCATGATTTTTTTTTAATAATTGAATTTTGGAAAGGTTTTATATTAAAATCTTTAAAAATCTGAATCATACAAATTTTTAACTAACAGTTCTGTGGAATTAATTTTTTTGGATAAGCTTAATTACGTATTTTTTATACTATTCGAATGTTTTATTTTCTAATATATATATGTAATTGAAAAATTTCCGAATGATTGAAATTTTGTAAAATTTAATTATAAACAAATGAATTTGAAAATTCTCAAAGAACTTTTTCAAAAATTATTAAAAATAATGGATTTATAAAAGAATTTTACTTAAAAACACTAAAAAAAAATTGAACCAGTTACAAAATTTTGCAGAAATTCAATTATTTTCAAAAGTCATAAAATTCTTCGCAGAAATTCAATTATATTCAAAAACTTTTAAATTCTTCTTAGGGATACAATTATTTTCACAAATAATAAAACTTATCTCAGAATTTCAATTATTTTTAATACAATTTGAATTAAATTTCTCAAAAAATGTAATTATTCTTAAAAATTTTATTAAAATTCGTCGAAAGAATTGAATTATTAAAAAATTTGTTGATAAAATTCTTTATGAGAATTGAATTTTAATAATCATTCAATTATTCAATAATTTATTTATTTTTATATTTAAATAATTGAATTCTAGTAGAATTTTCTAATAAAAATTGCTTTAAAAATGAATTTCAGTTAAAATTTTAGATATTAATTGAATATTAAAAGCAATAAAGCGTGAATTTTTAGAAATAATTATTAAAATTAAAAAAGCAAATCAAAACGTAGAAATAAAGCAAAAAATTAAAATCGCTGATAATCAAAAATTTAAAAAGCAAAAAATTATTTGTCAACAAATAAGAATAAATCAAAAAGAAAAAAGAAAAAAATGCGAATGCAAAAAAAAAATAAAGTAAAAATTAAAAAATCTAATAGTAAAAAATTAAAAAAGTTAATAATCAAAAATCAAAAATGAAAGCCATCAAAAAGTAAAAATTCACCCGACAATAAAAATCATACATTTAAATAAAAACTACATCTATAAACAATTTTTTCTCTCTTTTCAATCATCAAAAAATATTTCCCGGACCGAATTCCAAAAAACATGTCAATTAATAATTTCTCGAATATATCCAATAGGTGCATCGATATATAAACACTTATCATAAGAAAAAATCACGACAGAAAGAATTTTTTCCGTCTTGAGAAACATCGAGCATAAAAATATATTATAGAAATAAAATTAACAGTGGAAAATTGTTGACAGGCGTGAGAGATGAGCGATTAAGATATATATAGATATACATGTTTTTCTAAATTTGTTCATATCAAACACATCTATATACAAATGTAAATTTATTTTACATTCAGTAAAAACCAACTTTTCTATTTTTTCTCTCGCACGTGGCTTGTCTCAATAATCAGAGAAAAATGTGTAACAAAACTCGTTTACATAAATAAATGTCAACATATGTGCATCTTCCGATTAGTGGTTGATCATTTCTTTAAAGAAACTAATCAAATGGAAAATTGATTTATGAAAAAAAAATAGAAGAAGAAAATGTTCATTCTCGTTTGAATCCAATTAACACGAATGGAAAATCAAATATATATAATAAATATTATAATTGCCGTGAGAAAAATGAAAAAATGCGCTTGCACAATTATACATTTTTAGATAAACAAAAAAGATTTGTAAAAAATTTAAAAACAATTACAAAAAAAATTTGTTACATAAAAATTATTGACTAAAATTTTATTTTAATAATAAATAATTAATTGTTTTCAATTTACAAATTTTTTTAACACTCGTGCTCTATATAAAAAAGGAGAAAACGAAAAACATTCAAAAATAGACTATTGTTTGCGATATTTTATTATTTTTTAATAATTTATTCATTTAGTAATTTAATATATTGGTTATTAATTATTAATTCAAAATAAATTTATTTATTTATTATATTTACTCGGCAATTAATAAAGAAATTATTTTGTTTCTTATAATTTAATATTTAATCATAATTACATACACATTTTTAATTTTAATAAACTAATTTATTTAGGTATTTTTTATATTTTATTTAATATTTTATTTACGATTATTGAATAAAAATAAAAATTATATTTGTAATTGTTTTCTTATTAGTCACAATTTCCATTATTACCAAAATTACAAGAAAGAATAAAAGTAGTAAAAATAAACTAATTAATTAAATTAATCACAAAATAGAAGAATTTCTATCTATTAACTTAATAAAATTAACATATTCAAAGAAATAAACATCGTCTATTCGAAATTTACGATTCTCGTCTGTTGGCAAATTGAATTTTTTTAATTTAACGATTTTCGTATGCGGGTGAATTTTTACACTTTGATATTTTAATTAATTAAATTTTTTTATATATATATTATGAATTAAAAATTTTTCTCTCAACAATTTTAAAGTATTTTCGTTAGATAAATTTAGCTTCAATTAAGATAAAATAGTTTTATAGCATTTTAATGATTTTGATTTGAAAATTATCATTGATATCGCGATAAAAAAAAAAGTTTGTCATCTACGTTTGACGACTTTATTAAGATTTTAACCTTTTTAAAATCAACCATTTCTATTCTAATAAGTTACTTGTGCTTTGAATTACCAGTGAAAAAAAGTTACATAATTTCTCAAAATTTCAGAAAAATTCCTACATATAAAAATAAAATTTCTACTGTATATTTTCATATAAATTATACAATATAGTAATTCATCGACGTTTTAAAAAAATATTCACATTTTGAAAAAGTTAATTTCATTGTTACTAGGATGAAGAAAAATTTATTTCATTCAAAGAAACGATTATTTTATTGTTAAATAAATATTTATTTGTCAATTAAATAGTATTTGCTTCAAGTATTAAAATTATTTCTTCAAATACAATT